AATACAGAAGGGTAAAAAATGACTTCTAAATCGCCATGAAGTTTATCATAAAGTCAAAACATCATTCTTCCTTCATGAAAATGGTGTTTGCAACCTCATGCAGTAAGGACTTGGGAGAAGGGGTCACAGACTGCACTGCCCAGGAGAATCCATAGGGAAATCAGAACACAATGTTTCTTAATCCCTCTTACATTATTCTATGGCACCTTTCTACCATTCATCTTCAATTCCCTGCAACAAGGCTCCATTTCTAACTGGAAACTCTCCTGGGAAGCATATTACAAAGAGTGGCTGCTCACTGACTTTTCTCCTTACATGCCCCCTCTCAATCTTTAATGACCGACAAGGCAGCTGATCTGTAGAGGGACTCCTCAGGCTACAGCCTCTGGTCCTCCCTTCTGCATTCTACATCCTCGCTCCACCCAGTTTTGCTTCCCTCGTCCAGCTCAAGTGTCTAAGCATCTGATTGAAAAGCCTCCTCTGATATGCAGGAAGGTAGAGTTAACATCATTTCAAAGAAAATGCTATTTTGAGACTAACACCATTGTATGACTTGTGTGTTCTTTCTAAATTTTCATCCAGTTCACCGGAGACTCCAGGAACCATTTTTAACTGTAAAAATAATCTGCTTTTTTTGGACTGGAAAAATTATTTTCCTCTTTCCACAGGAGCCTTCCCAGAACACTGGTAGATCATCATCATAAGCTGCCTAATATAGCCTGTGGTCTCAAGAGATTCACCCCAGGAACATAGCAATCATATGCCATAAAATAGCTTTAAAATTGATTCTCCATTTTTAAATATGAAAAGATGGCAGCACTTAATAATTGCCAACCCTGTTCCTCAGAGACAGTGTATATGGATGAATTATATTCCTATAGTACAGAAGACATCATCACATGGCTGATGAGAGGAAGACAGCTAAGGGAGCTAGCCAGCTGCTGAATATCTCTGGGGTTTTCTGCCTTCCTGCTATTGATTAACTTTGGCGGGCAAAAAATTAGCACTTCTCTGTGCTAGGATCTTGTCATCCAGGTTAGTAGGACTCTGGGTTAATTTACTGGTTTGCTGTGTGGTATGGTGTGGTTGAAATCTAGGCTCAGTTGCTGACTGTCTGGGCTAGATCGTCCTGCAGTTAGGTGGGTTAACACCTGAATTCAAGTGGGGCTCTTTGAAGTGAGGGCAGTGTAATTTTTTTTAACTAGGCCAGCAATTATAGGTGGCTGAGTGAGAGAGGGTGAGTCACCCATTCCAGAATGCTGTGCTGGCAACAAGAGAGGAGTAGACCCCAATGGCTGAGGAAAAGAAGTCACCTGCCCCTCCCCCAAGGCTGGGGGGCTCATGGCCACCACCCCCGAGAGGAGAAGACATAAGATAGTGGTGGTCAGGGACTCCCTTCTGAGGAGGACAGAAGCATCCATCTGTTAACGTGACACAGGAGGCGTACTGCCTGCCTGGAACCTGCACCTGAGATGTTACAGAAAGCTTGCCAAGGCTCATCCGTCCTTCTGACCACTATCCCATGCTGCTCATCCACTTGGGCACTAATGATACTGCCAGGTCTGACCCATAGCACATGATCACTGACTACATGGCTCTGAGAGCAAGGCTGAAGGAGGTGGGGGTGCAGATGAGATTCTCTTCCATTCTCCTAGTTGAGGATAAGGGCCTAGGCGGAGACACATGCACCCTGGAGATGAGTGCAAAGCTCTACAGATGGTGTTGACAGGACATCTTTGGCTTCCTTGACCATGGGATGCTATTCCGAAAAGGAGGACTGTTGGGAAGAGATCATGTCCACCTGACCAAGAAGAGGAAGTGTATTTTTGGACACTGACTAGCCAACCTAGAGAAGATGGCTTTAAATTAGGCTCAAAAGGGGGCAAGTGACAAAAGCCCACTGGTAGATATAAAAAGGTGACCTTGATAGAGGACTAGAAGATGTGGGTGGAGGGAATGAAAAATGACAATAGTGTCATAGAAGCAACAAAATGGAAAAGAGTGGGGGAATCTGCTTAACATCTTAAAAGTCTATATGCAACTGCAAGGGGTATGGGGAATAAACAGGAAGAACTGGAAGGCTTAGTACACAAGTTAAATTGTAACTTAATTGGCATCACTGAGATTTGAGGGGGGTAAACCTCATAACTGGAATATTTCTATAGAGCAGTATTGCTTGGTCAGGAAGGACAGGAAGGGGAAAAAAAGAGGAAGTGTTGATTTATACATCAAGAATATATACAGTTGTTCTGAGGTCCAGGAGGAGGTGAAAGGCCGACCAGTTAAATATCTCTGGGTGAAGATTAATGGGGAAACGAAACATGGTAGGGATCTATTTGAGACCATCAAATCAGGAGGAGGAGGTAGATGCGGCATTTCTAGAACAAATAACAAACATTCAAATTTGGTAAGTAATGAGGGGTGGGGGCATTAACTACTCACACATCTGTTGGATAAGTAATACAGCAAAACACAAAATCTTCAGTAAGTTCTTGGAAAGTATTGGGGACAACTTATTGTTTCAGAAGGTGGAGGAAGTAACCAAGGACAGCCTTTTAAGACTTGATTCTGACAAACAGGGATACTGGCTGTGAATCTGATCATGGAAGGCAGTTTAAATGAAAGTGACCATGAAATGATAGATTTCACGATTTTGAGGAAAGGAAGAAGTAAGAACAGCACAATAAGGAAAATGGACTTCAAAAAAGCAGACTTGAACAAACTCAGAGAACATGTAGGTAAGTCCCATATCTAAGGGAACATATCTAAGGGGAAAAAAGAGTTCAGTTTTGCAAAGAGACAATATTGAAGGCAGAACAGGAAACAATCTGGAAAGGCAGGAAGAATAGGAAGAAATGAATATTGCTCGATCAGGAGCTTTTGAATAACTTGAAAATCAAAAAGAAATCTTACAAAAAGTGGAAATATGGACAATTTACTTTGGATGACTACAAAAGAATAGCACAAGCATGTAGGGAAAAAATCAGAAACGCCAAGACACAAAATGAGTTACATCTAACTAGGGACATAAAAAGCAATAAGAATTTGTTCTAGAAATACACTAGGAGCAAGAAAAAGACAAAGAAAAGTGTAGGTCCACTACTTAGGGGGAAGAAGAGCTAATAACAAGTAAAGGCTGAGGTGCCTAAGGCCTATTGTGCTTCAGTCTTCATTAAAAAAGTTAATTGTGACCAGATGCTCAACATAATTAATATTAACAACAAGAGGGAAGGAATGCAAGCCAAAACAGGGAAATAGCAGGTTAAAGAGTATTTAGATAAGTCAGATGTATTCAAGTCGGCAGGGCCTGACGAAATTCACCCTGGGATGCATTAAGGAACTAATTGAAGCATTCTTGCAACCATTAGAACTTATCTTCAGGAAGCCATGGAGGACAGGTGAGGTCCCAGAGGACTGGAGAAGAGCAAACATAGTACCCATCTTTTAAAAAGGGAACACAGAGGACCCGAGGAATTGTAGATTAGTGTTGATTGGTTCACTGTCAAACTGGGACAGCAAATCTTGTGGGCTCCCTTGGGTGTCTGTCCTGGGTCTGGTACTATTTAATATTTTAATTAATGACTTGGATAATTGAGTGGAGAGTGTGCTTACAAAATTTATGGATGACACCAAGCTGGGAGGAGTTGCAAGCACTTTGGATGATAGGATAAGAATGAAAATGGACCTTGGTAAACTGGACAATTGGTATGAATGAAATTCAGTCAATACAAGTGCAAAGTACTGCATTTAGGAAGGAAAAATCAAATGCACAACTACAAAATGGAGAATAACTGGATAGGTGATATTACTGCTGAAAAGGATCTTGGGGGTTATAGAGAATCACAAATTGAATATGAATCAACAATGTGATGCAGTTGCAAAAAAGGTTAATATAATTCTGGGGTGTATTAACAGGAGTGTTGTATGTAAGACAAGGGAGGTAGTTGTCCCATTCTACTCAGCACTGCTTAGGTCTCACATGGAGTATTGTATCCAATTCTGGGCGCCACACTTTAGGCAAGATGTGGACAAATTGGAGAGAATCCAGAGGAAAGCAACAAAACTGATAAAAAGTTTAGAAAACCTAACCTATGAGAAAAGTTAAAGGCTGTTATAAAGAGGACGGTGACCAGTTGTTCTCCATGTCCACCAAAGGTAAGACAAGATGTCATGATCTTAATCTGCAGCAAGAGAGATTTAGACTGGATATTGAGAAAAACTTTCTAACTTTAAAGATAGTTAAGTCTTGGGATAGGCTTCCTGGCAGGTTGTGGGATTCCTGTCATTGAAATTTTTCAAGAACAGTTTAGGCAAACACCTGTTGGGGTAGTTTAGGTTTATTTGGTCCTGTGTCAGTGCGGAGGGCTAGACTAGATGACCTCTCAAGTTCCCTTCCAGCCCCCCATTTCTGTGAGTCTATGATCCTTGCATTTCTCTTAGTTGGCCTTTATCCAGAAGTAAGTTTATTATTAGATGCCATTGCTTAGTTGAGGAGCATTTATTATCCCTGTAGCCCTTGAATCTCGGTGGATAATAATTACTTCATTAAAGACGTTAGAAATAAATATAAGCCTGGTTCATCCATCTGAAAAACAGAGAAATTATTCTCATAAACTAGTTTAAAGTTAAAAACAACAACAACAGTTTTCTTGTGATCTCCTGGGCAGGGGTGGGGTGGGGACGGCGGGGAAGGAATTAGAAGCAGGTTACAAATCATTCAAAGAACTCTGTACCGTAACTATTTCACTCCGCCGCTTGTGGCACTGGCTTGTTCTATTGCAGTAACTTATAACATGGAAAACTATTGTCACCTGCCTCACGTAGTTCTTTGTCTTCCTGATAATGAAGCTCTTCATTATGAAAAAGAAAATCCTCACTCCTTATAATCCAGATCCCAAATGAATTTAATTGAATGTGGTACTAACAGCCAAGCTCTGCAGGCACAACAGACATTTGTATTCACTTTTTGGTAGACTTAGAGTAAAGAATATTTCACTTACCCAATAGTCTGGTGTTGCAAGATATCTGGATCTGTGGCGCTTACTGTTAACACAACACTGCCTATGGGAATGTTTTCTTGTTTGGTCACTGTCATTGGGTCTGGGTGGAAAACAGGGCCTTCGTTTACATCCAGAACAGTGATCTGAACTGTTGCTGTAGAACTGCGGCCGTAGGCTATGTCTGGAACCAGCGGGTCTTCATTTTCTACTTTGATCAGCAGTGTGTGGAATGCTGAGATCTCGTAGTCTAAAGGCTGTAAGACATGTCAAGAAATCAGAGTACCAGATGCAAAGAGCACGTATAACATTCACCCAAGCTTGTAAGGACAGAATTAGCCACAAAGGGACAGCGCCTCCATCACCATCATTGGCTACATCCTGCTGGCTGGTCCAAGTTCAGCACCAGACAAGTTGTGTTGTCTCTGTCTCATTCTGTGTGTATATATAGCCACACAACAAAACCACACCATGTACTCTAGCATAGTAGCAGAGTTACTAGCTTCCAGTAAGCGGGATCCAGCAGGGTTATTGTAACACAAAAGGAGTGACAGGTATTGCCTAAACTGAACTGCTAGCCACCAAAATACTTTCGCCTAGCTAATTTCAGTACTTGGTCCTTTTCATGTGTAATGCACCTCACAGTAATAATAAATTATACAAAAGCAAATTGTCCTTACTTTGACAACAGAGAGCATCCCCTCATTCGTCTTTGGATTGGTATGGATTTCAAAACTCTGTCCTGGGTTTCCATTGATAACAGTATACACAGCTCTCCAGGCTCCTGTTGCTGGGTCATCGCGGTCTTCAACCGATAAATTCACCATCACTCCCGTGACTCCTTCCTTTACTGTGGCGTGGAACTAAAACAAGGATTGTTATTAGTATTAGTATTATTAACAATAATAATAGTTACTATTTTCTAGTAATGACCACACACACGTTTTTTTGTTCAAGCCAGCATTAATTATTTACATCAGGAGAAAGATGTAATACTTGAGTGAAACTGAATTTCATAGTCCATAAATAATACATTCCCAGAGCATGAAGAGTAAGGTACTGTATTACTACTGCACTGCCTCTGTTCTTGATAGATTGTAGATAAGTAACAATGTGATAGAAAACGTCCTTTGAAAGCACTTGACTGAGAAGAAAAAAAAATCATCTAGTAACTTCAGTAATTGCCCTACAGATAACACACAGAGGTGCGGAAGTGCACAACTACTGGAAAAAGAAATGTTCAGAACTGAGAAAGCAAAAGGGTGGATGGAACACGATTCATTCTTCTTCTAAGATTCTTGCCTTTTGATTTTTTACAAAGTCCCCCTCTTTTAACTGCTCATTACAGTGTCATAAATAAATAAAATATTTGACTTGTGTCCCTGTCCTGCTTTTTCCTTGATGAGTTTCTCTGGGATAGAATAATTGTGGTTCATTTTACTATGTAGTTCCCATAACTATCATGCATTACATTCTCTTTTCAGAGGGAAGAACTGTCATTATGGGAAGTTTGCAGCTATTTTACAGGTCAATTAACCAAATCTTACCTGGGTAATCGACAACTTGATTATGGTCCAGTCAAACTGTATATGAACGCTATTCTCACTTAGCAGGAGTATATTAGGTAAACATTGCAGATGCTCATGAATTTCAGACACAATAACATTTCTCACTTCTAAAGCACTGGCAGCTGAAGCACTTTATATTAATTAATGTAATGAATACATCTCTCCATGATCTTGTGGTGGGGAAGAATTTTGATATATCCATTTTATGGATGGATAAACTGAGGCTCAGAGAGACTCAAGGCCCAATCTTGAGAAGTACAGATCACCTGCAGTTCAAATTTAGATCATTAGGAGCTGGGAGATCTCAGCATCTCTCAGGATTAGCCCCTCAATGGCCCCATCCTGCAAACTTCACTAATGTTAGTAGCCCCCATTCCCCTAACTGGTTTGCCTGTGGCTGCTTTGTCAGTGGCAATACTGTTTTCTATTCCCAGGGACAAAATTCATCCATTATGCAAATCTAGCAGTGTCAATACTTTTGCCCAAGGAATAGTGATGACAAGTCCTTTGCTCTATCTTATCAACCTCACTCCCCCATAATAACAGAACATTTTGAGAGGTTGCAGGGATTTCCAAATATTACCCAAGACAGAAGATCTAAACTATAATCTTATTACAATATAGACTTTGCAATCTGGCTACTTGTAGGTACAATTTGATCCCCAATACTAAAATATAGGGGAGGCAACTATGTCTTTTTCTGTCTTCAGTGTCTTCTTTTTCATTTTTTTCCAACAGACTTGACTTAGGTTCTCAAGCCCTTTTTGAATTTATCTGGAGAATCTGAGTGCATGCATTAAAATTCATTTATTTCAAGCTCTTCAGCTTCAGACTCGATTTTCTAAGAAGGGCAACATTATTGATTGTCTGTTTCTATCGTCTTCAATACAGTTGGCAAGAAATTTAAAGGTTCTTTTGATTTTGGGAGTTAATACATAGCTTGTTATTGAGCTTCGGTTCAGGCAGATCATTAAGCTCATTTACAGCTTAATTAACCTGAAATAATACTTTAACAATATGTTAACTTGACTTCAAATGGATCAAAAGAAAATACAATATTTTAAGAACCTCAGATATAATGGAGCAATGGTTACCAAGAAGCTGCTCCACTCCACATAGAAAAGTGTTGTAACTTATAAAGCACACTTGTTCGGGTCTCATGTTTTGAAAGAATCCACCATTTCTTGTAGCATTTAGGGCCTGAATCTCAGAGGTGCTAAGCATCTGTAACTTCTGTTAAAATCAGCTTTCCAAGTTCAGTCCCATGACTGATTTGTTGAATTAGCAAATTCAGTAGTGAGCCCTCTCCAGTCTGTTAACAGTTTAAGTTCTGCAGCCCTGCAAAGTTTATCGGATGTTGACCCAGGAACAATGAGAAACATACACTACAGTATGGTTAAATGTGGAGGCCTGAACTCTATTTACAACTATTAACAAACTGGGTAGCCACAACCTCACGCTACCCAGTGGAATTGTTCCAGTATAGACCTCAACTAGTACACCAATGGCCCTGGGACAGCAAACATGAGGGTGAGTGCGAAGGACATGCCCCCTCTACACCCTCAGGCCTACCCAGGGATCCTGACTGGAAGCAAGAGTCCTGCCCAGCCTCCCTCCTCCACACCAGAGATAAGATGAAGCCAGCAATAGGCTATGCAAGACATGGAGGCGTACCCTTTCACCATGCATTGTTGTACTCAGGATCAATGCCCAGGCAGTCCATTGGGTCACAGGGACCGAAAACCAGACCATTTTCTAACCCAATATCACACTGCCTCATGATTTCTTAGAGGTGGGTCTCAACTGGCACCAGTGGCCCGTGTAGACTATAAACCGGAGGGTGGGTGTCAACACCATGGGCCCATTACACACTCAGGTCTGTCAAAACCAGCATCCCAGCCCACTTCCTTCCTTCATGCTGGAGATAGCACAGATAACATGAGGGTGCTCTAAGGTGTGCAAGACACTGGTGCAGACGCCCTCACCATGGATGGCGGTGCCCATGGCCACTGTACTGGGAAGCCAAAAATAGCTACTTGCCTAGGCAGCAAACAGCAGCCACCTTCCTTCCCCTCCAGTTTTCCCCTCCTATTATCATCCACCACTGACCAATGGCAGCAGCAGTGAGCAGGGGAGTCTCCAGTGCCAAGAGGCAGCATACAATAGCTTTTCCCTTCCTTGAGTCCTGCAGTACAGAGGGTGGGGAGAAGGGAAAGGGAAAGAAGCAACCGCCCCATACACATATTGAAGGCAAGGGGGGGGGGGGGGGAAGAAGAAGAGGACGCATGTGGCACATGGCCCTAGTTGTTCCTAGTTGAGTTTTCATGCCCCCGCTCCCACTCTCAAGATGCTTCCACTTCTTCCAGCCCCACTGCAGCCACAACTTAGTAGTAAGATGAGCATTTACTATTATTGACATTTTTTACTTAAAAAAAAAAAAAGATCAGCAGATTCCATATTTTAAGCTTTTTCTCAGTCTTGGCTCTGTACAATTACTAGACATGCACTGCAAAGACCAGATGTTCAAAGGTGTTCAGGACCCAACACCTCCCATTTAGACACCTAAATAGGGGGCCAGATTTCAAGAGAGCTCAGCTCCTATTTAAGCCCCTAGGCCATGATCCTGCACCATTAAAATCAATGGGAGCTTTGCCATTGACATCAACAAAGGCAGGGTCAAGGCCCAATGGAGGGATTGGGACTCATGCTCCTAATTCACATAGGTGTTTTTGAAAATGCCACCCCTTGATCAAGTGGACAGATTTTTCATATGCACTCAGTACTCCCCTGCAGCTCCCATCAAGAATACCAAGAGCTGCCGGGTGCTGAGCAATTTGAAAACGTGGTCACGTTTCATTAGGTGCCTAATTCGGAGCTGAGTCCTTTTGAAGATCTAGCCCTTAAGGTAAATACAGAAGACCACCCCCGTTACGATGCTGGAGTCTGATGGAAAAGCTGGCGGAGATTCTTAGGTTTTTCAGCCAGTTCACAGAACACGAAAGTCGGTTTAAGGACATTTGATTTAACAATATCTTAACGGAGAATGGTTCTCTTATGTACTCGGCACTCTTGCCTACTCCTTTTTCAGGCCGAACTCCCAGTGGCTTCAATGACAGTGAATTAGCAATTCAGAAAAGGGCACTTAGACCTGGTGTGGCCAGAAACCTTCAGAGCTTATGATACCAGCCGGTCAAGTAACTGAAACTCCTCTGGGAAAGACAACAATGTAAACCTGATAACTCCAACCTTCAAGTTACATTAACCTAGGTGTCCTGCAGTTTACAAGCACTTCAGATGACCATCAAAGCAAGTGACTATTTGAAGCTGCTTAGAGTTTGGAATGTTAGGGCTTGTCTACATGGGGAAGTTAAGACACAGTAAGCTAGGGTGTGAATTTACAGCACTTTAGCTACTCCAGACTCACTCCCTGTTAGGACACTGACTGTGCACTAAAATGTTCCTCTAGGCAAATTAGTTTAGCACACTTCCAAAGTGCATTAAGCTAATGTGCTCAAAGGTACTCTTAGTGTGCAGTAAGAGTGTTCACATGGGGTGTTAGTGCGGAGTAGCTACATGCACCAGCTAGTGCCCATCAGCTACTGTGGGTTTTTCCCCATGCAGACGAGCTCTTAGGCCTGGTCTACACTGGGGGGGGGGATCGATCTAAGTTACGCAACTTCAGCTACGTGAATAATGTAGCTGAAGTCGACATACTTAGATCTACTTACCACGGTGTCTTCACTACGGTGAATCAACTGCTGCCGCTCCCCCGTCAACTCTGCTTGCGCCTCTCGCCGAGCTGGAGTATAGGAGTCGACAGGAGAGCGCTCGGGGATCGAATTATGGCGTCCAGACTAGACATAATAAATCGATCCCCGCTGGATCGATCGCTGCCCGCTGATCCGGCCAGTAGTGAAGACATACTCTTAGAATAAATCCAGGGGAGATGGATTAGGAAGCAAAGTGATCAAACGTGCATGATAAATGATCACATTGGCTCTGCAAGTTAGTACATGGATAATGTTATCACTCATATGAGAGTGTGAAAGAAAGAGCAGAGAGAGAGAGAGAAATTCTTACTATGGACAAAAAATACAGTATATGTTATATGGAGGACAACCTCTGGTGTCATTCTAGTCTGGAGGGCCCTTTTATACACAGAACAGACTCCCCAGTGACTAGAAAAACATGTTGTAGTAACAATGGCTCCCCCTTAAAAACCAAAAGCAAAAAAAGAAGGGTTAAAAAAAAATGAACTCAGAACTCAAGCTAGTTTTGAAAATGGGGAAACAGAG